TGGGTGAGCGGGGAGACGAAACAGCCATGTGTCACCCGCCGGCTGCAGGGCTACGGGCACCGCAGGCTCCTGGCCCGCAACACCCCCGCCCAGCCCCGCTCACCTTAGTGATCTCCTCCTGCAGCTCATCCTCCGTCTGCTCCGACTCTAGACGGGGAAGAGAGCCGTCACTAACCGCCCAAGGCAGCGGGGACCCCTTCCCACTCCCCTCAGATGGGCAGAGAAGGGGAGAAGCGAGGCCAACGGGGAACGAGGAGGGATGGGGCCCTACCTGAGTAGTCCACTATGTGCGTGGGGACCTTCTCCGGCGTGACGTCAGCCGGGATCGTGATCTCCTCTGCGCGAGGAGGCACCTGCAAAGCCAGCAGACTCCGTTCCAGCCAGCTGTGCCAAACACAACTGAGAGGACAGGTGACAAGGGACTTCAGACACGGCCACTGCCCAGCGCCCTCCCTGCCAGGGTGGGATGAGCTCCAGACCACGGATCGCTCTTGGCCCACCGGGCTGCAGCTCTGGCTCGGCTCGCTGCAGTTCAACCCTTGCACAGGCAGTATCCCCGCGGTGAAACCTCTGACCGCCTCCTGGCCCCGAGCCCTCCCTCGAGATGCAGCTCCTGACGGCACCGAGTCCCACCAGGGAAGCCGGCTTTCAGACAAGTCAGCGCTGCCGCCCCCGCTACAGCTCCGGAGATAAGCCCTCAGCACTCCCCCAGCTCTCCGGCCTGATCTCTTGGCAGCTGGGAGAAGCGCTAAGCTGATCGTCCGGGGCTTTGCTGCAAGAGCATGGGAAGGTGCGCGGCGCTGGCCCTCCCCCAGGCCTCCGGCGCTGATGCTTCCCAGCGCAAACGTCGCAGAGGGCACCATCTGCTCGTGGGCAGCGGGAGAAGCCGCCTGACGGCCAGACCGATCCTGTTTCCCCATCCAAACCGCGATGGGACAGTGAGCCGCCGAGCCAGAGGCTCCAAGGGGCACATGCAGGCAGGCTAGATGCTGCTCCTCGCAGATAGCCCAGCTCAAAGCACCAAACCCTTCTCCAGACAGGCGTAGAAGGGCAGGGAAAACGGCTCAGCCCCTTCCAAGGGCTCTGTGCCAGTGCCGCCACAGCAAGGCTGGCGCTGGGGAGCAAACGGCGCTGCCACAGAGGGCAAGGCTGGG